GAATTCGAGCCACAAATCTGTGCCGATATATCGACTGGAGCTGGACTGCTGGTCACCCCCGCCGTAGGCACAGCCGGTTGTGCTGGTGATGAACCCGCAGCGGACGCTCCCGTAGTATTACCTCCCGATGGCTGCGATGCGGGACTACCACCTGATTGACCAGTGGATGCACTGCCAGCCGATGCACCAGTGGTTGCGCTCACACCCGATGGCTGAGAAGCGGCACTCGTAGCTGATTGGGCAGCGGTTGTACTGACCCCCGACGGCGCCACTGAATTCTTAGCAGTCGATTGTCCCGCAGAGGCGCTGACACCCGATGGAGTGGTACTGACACCAGAAGGTGCTGCTGAAGAACCCGCAGCCGATTGTCCCGACGAAGTGGTGACACCAGACTGTGTTGTGGAGACAGCCGACGGTGCAGATGGAGAAGGGCTTGACTGAAGAATTACACCATTGATGGCAACCAAACCAATCAATACAATCGATGGATACAAAGATAACATCTTTTGGTTTTGCAAAACTATAACTGAATTTATTTTAGACTTTGAAATGAATTTCCGTTTTATGGGAGAATAACAAGAATTATTGCTAAAAATAATTTCAATGATATCTTTTTAAATATTTATATTTCATGTGATTTTAACAATTGCTTGACTTATCTCTTCATTTAAATCATTATTGTTTTTAATATAAACAAAATTTGTTTAAATGAAAGTCGTTGAATGTAAATACTTAAAATTATACTAGCAATTTATGATTTAATAATTCAAAAAACAATGTTACAAAACGTGTATATAATTAAAACTCTATTTAATTGTGCGCTCAATATATGCAATGTATTACTTTGTATTTAAAAATTATTTACTATTGTGCGAAACAGTGAATAATTGAAAGTTAATTATAAACAAGACTTATTTAAAACTATCGTTCAACTGATTTATACCAATATTGAAATACTGACTGAAAACTGTTTACTGTTAACTAATTGAGACTAAAGACACTGTTATATCACTTGAATCGGTGGCGAGACATGTGTTGGCTCTTCAAATGGCTGTTTTTCTACGGATGTCTGGACGGAGACGACGACGACAGTCAACCGGTGCTAAAGCAATACAAAGAGAAACACAGAGTTTGGGAAGACATGCAGTCGGAGGCCATCCACTCGATCAAAGTGAATGACACCGATTGGCCGCAAGTGTACGCCATTCCCGATGACAAACACCAGACGCCGGTCGACGTGATCGCCGCCCGGGGTTACGACCCGACGACACAGACGGAGATCGGAAGCGGTGGCTGCGGGCGAGTGTATCGCGTGGTGAGGACAGCGGACGGCGTGTCGGTGGCGCTCAAGACTGTGGTCTACACCCATGAGAACAGAGACCGCGAAAGAGATCGCATCGATTTCCTGAGGACAGAGATCGCCATAATGTCGCAAATTAAGCACAAGAATATTGTGCCCCTCTTTGACAAGTTTATCGTAAACAACATGTGCTATCTGGTCATGGAGTTGGCCAATGGGGGCGACCTTCAGGAGGTGGTCAACTCCACGCCCAATGGTTTGTCTGAATTGCGAGCCAAGGAGTACTTCGTTCAGTTCGCCCGAGCGGTGGCCCATTTGCACCACCAGAAGACACCGGTGGCCCACCGGGACGTTAAGCTGAACAACGTTTTGATATTCAAACAAACCGATCAAATAGTGGCCAAACTGACCGACTTTGGTCTGAGCCGAGTGTTGGGTTACGCCGGCGGCGAACACAAGGATCGCAAGGCTATCGGCACTCAGCCATACTTCGGGC